TTCTGGCTGGATTGGGGTGCATTCTCTATCAGGGTGACCCCACATCGTGGCTGGGGGCAGCTCGTGGAGACCCGTCTCATCCCGACCCACACAGCCTGGCTGGCTCTGCCCAGATAAACACTGACTCATGCTGTGTTATTCTGTCCCACCCTGGGCACAGCCAGCTTTTTTAAGGCTGCCTTTTCCAGCTATTCCTTTTTTTTCCCCTGTTCACACGAGCCGGGGATGAAGCCTTAGCCGGTATGCAGGGAGCCCATGGGGGTGCCGAAGGCTGCCAGGCACGGGGGTCCCGGTGGAGCGAGGAGGCGAGGGCTGCTCCACAGCAGCGGGGATGCGTCTGAGTGCCATGGATGCAGGTAGGGCTTGGGCTTCCCCGCCGTCCTCCAGCCAGCCTTGGGGCAGAGCTCAGTGCCTCAGTTTCCCCTGCGGGGACTGGCTTTGCCCCCTCCCTCTGCTTTAGGGGTCCCCTGCTGCCGGTGACTTGGAGGAGCTGCCAGCCTGAATCCTCACTGGCAGGAGCCCATGTGCTTGGCATCAGGCTGTTGTGGATGTTCAGCATGCTGCTGCCTCTCCTGTGGCATCCTGCATCCCTGTCCCCTTCCCGGTCCCCTTCTCAGCCAGCTGGAGCTGGACAGAGGGTTCAGGGATGGGTGGCAGGGCTGGGACCGTGGCTGGGGAGCAGCTTTTGGGCAGGCCAGGGCTCGGGGTTTTGCAGTGGCATGGTCTAAGCTCCCTTTTGATGGGTATGTGGCTGGTGTCCGATTTACACCGGGGGCTGGGGCTCCATCCTGGGCATCCTCGTGGGGACTGGGATGCTGTGCAGCATCTCTCCCTGCCTGTTGCCATGGCAATTGCTGGCTAAAATAAGGGTGAATTGGAGCTCGGTACCCAGAGCTGCTTTCCCATTCCTTTTGTTTTCTTGCTTTTCCCGAGCGCTGGCAATCCCCAGCGTGGGACAGGGACCTGCCACCACAGGGCTGGACACTGGATCCTGGCAGGGACGTCCCTCCCGTGCAACCCCAGGCTGGAAAAATGTGGGTGCTGGAGGGATGGATGGAGTGGCCTTGGGTGCCAGCTTGGGATGGGGCATGCATCCATCCTAGGGCATATTCCCACTGACAGCAATGGGAGCTCGCTGTGCTCGGGATCCAGCCCACAGGGTGGGACTTGAGCTTGACCAGAGCAATAAGCCCCCACGAGACTGGGACCAGCGTCTGCCATGGGGGAAATCCAGGGCTGCGGCAGGGCTCAGAGGGGACAGGTGCCAGCAGGTCTGGGGGGACATCGAGATGCTGCTTGGCCCGTGCCCCTCCCAAAGCTCCTCAGATGAGCAACCATGTGTTTCCCCCAAACATCTGCCTGCAATTCCCCTCTCTGACGGAGCAGGGCTGTGCTGGGGCTTCCTGCACTGCGTGGGCAGCCTGGCTGCACTCCTCCCACACGTGCCGGAGGAAGCGGATTTGGGTTTGAGGTGCACTGGGACCTCAGAAACCGCTGCTGGGAAGGAGGGGAGGGGAAATGCTCAAATGAGAAAAAGGCAGAGCAGCTGCCTGGGGGCGGCGGCAGCTGTGCAGGCAGGGGCACAGGCAGGGGCGCAGCACATGGGGGCTGGCAGCGGCGAGCAGAGCCTACCCTGGTCGCCCTCTTGCTTCCCAGGGAGGTCTGTCTGTTGTCTGTCCCGTCCCTTGGTGTCCCTTGCATCCTTAGCACCCCGCAGGTGCTGAGCGGGTGCCGTGGGGAGGACAAACATTAACCCAAGGGCATCCCCAGTTTCCCCAGTGCTGGAGGAGTGCTTGTGGGGACCCCCGCACAGGCACATGCTGGCCCTAGCCCAGTTCTGTAGCATCGTGTGGGTAAAAGCGCAATGCACTTTGACAGCACAGGCAGGATCTTCTGTGCTCAAAAGCTGGTCTGCTTATTTTATTTGATTTTATTTGATTTCCGGCATTGGGGGAGGCAGAAGGCAGTGCTGGCAGCCTGCCTGTCTCTATAAATGCCTGGTGCAGGCAGCTGAGAGCCTGGGCAGCACCCGTGCCTGGGCGGTACCTGTGCCCAGGCGGTACCTGCTGCGGGGGACTGAGCATCCCCTGCCCGCCCTGGGCACGGTCACATCCCCTGCATGCAGATCCGGCTGAGCTCCCCCTGTTTCCCCATAAACCCGGTCACATCCGTCCCCCACCCGTCTGGGCTGGCCACAGAAGAGCTTTCGCCCAGAAAAGCTGGATTTGAACATTTTCTGCTGTTCTCTCCGTTTCCTGTTGCCTTCCCAAGAACAACATCCCTGACCTCATCCTCCCCCGGTGTGCGCCGGGATGCTGCTGTTGTGCGAGCCACCCGTCAGGAATCCCACCCCGGCGCCCGCGAGCCGGACTCAGCCTTCCTCGGGTACCAAGACAAATACAGCTGCAGGAATGACGGGGCCCTCAGCGGCTGGCTGGGCTAAAAGGCTATTTTGGGTAGATCCTGTGCTCATTTTTGTTGAGGTAGGAGGACAGAGATGAATAGACCAAACAGGGAGCGAAGCGGTTTTGGCTCGAGCAGGGTATTTTCAACCCAGAGAGAAGCGTTGAAACACGCTCATGGTTATGTGGCTTTTTTTTTTCCGAACTTTGAGGTTTTTGCAATGAGAAATGGGGAGGTTTCACATGGCCACCCCTCAGGGTCTCCATTTTTGGGGAGGCAGGTGGGAATTTGCTGGATGATCTGCCAGTGGGTCTGAGCTCCAGCCCCAGTCCCCATCCCACCCCCGGCATCCAGAGCCATCCCAGGAGGTACACGGCGGGTTCAGCAGCTGCCCGTCCTCTGCCTTAGGGGTTGTGATAGCTCAGCACGAGCCCTGGAAACAAACCCATCATCTGCCAAAGCCCGTGGGGAAACAGAGCCCTGCCGCTCCTCTCGCTCTCCAGCCGTTGTCACCCCCTCCTCCTGAGCAGGGACCGGGGCCACCCCGCTGCCCGACCCGGCAGAGGTCTGGGGCGGGTTTCTTTTACATCATCTGCCTTGCCCATCTTCCGAAGGGCAAATGTTAAAACCCAATAAAAAGAAAGCGTGTGTGAGGGAACAGCAAAATAAACAGAAAATTCAAATAAATAATCTGTTAAATACAGCTTTGAAATGTCAAGCTGAATGTCATCGCGCTCACTGGGCTCAGCGATTAAAAATAATAATAAAGAGGAGATATTACATTAAAAATATATGAGTGGGCACAATTGGAAGAGGAGCCTGTAACGCTGCAGGAATCCCTCCAGGGCAGGGGACTGATGGGTGCCGCAGCAAACATGGGGTCTGGCTGACCTCATGATGGTGAGGGGCAGCGGGCTATCCCCAGGGGTCCCTTGCTTACCCCACGGTGACACCAGGGTGAAAATGGCAGGGGGGTGGCATTTCTTGGGGGTTTCTCCCCGGTGGCAGAGTGAGTCCTGGGATTGTTGGGGCTCTCCAGCCAAGGGCGGTGGGGTGGGATGCGATGGGGTGGGACGGGATGGATGTGTGGCTCTGGGCTCCCCCACCTAGAGGAGCCTGTAACGCTGCAGGAATCCCTCCAGGGCAGGGGACTGATGGGTGCCGCAGCAAACATGGGGTCTGGCTGACCTCATGATGGTGAGGGGCAGCGGGCTATCCCCAGGGGTCCCTTGCTTACCCCACGGTGACACCAGGGTGAAAATGGCAGGCGGGTGGCATTTCTTGGGGGTTTCTCCCCGGTGGCAGAGTGAGTCCTGGGATTGTTGGGGCTCTTCCAGCCAAGGCGGTGGGGTGGGATGCGATGGGGTGGGACGGGATGGATGTGGGGCTCTGGGCTCCCCCACCTTTCTGCAGCTTTGCCTTTGGAAAGGTAGTGACATGAAAACCACTGGTCCATAAAGGCCGCAGTCAGGACGGCTCATTACCCAGGAACATTAATAGTCAGCGCTACAACAGCCAGTTCTGCTGATACTGTTACTTCCACTGGATCATCAACTTTAATTCATCCTTTTGACACTCAAGGTTTTGTCGGGGCAAGGCCTCCTTCCAGCTCAAACTAATTCACCAGCCTTGTGCTAAAACCTTATTTATTCTGGCTGCTTATCGTCTCCTGGAGCTCGGCAAGGCGGGAGGCAATGGGGCTGTGATTTAAGCCCCCGGCTGGGGACTTTGCAGCGATGGGAGCGGCAGCAATCGCAGGAAGGAACAGGAGGAAAAGCCCAGGGAGAAACAATAGGTTCCAACGCAAACACCACGGGGATTTCAAAGCAGGACTGGCAGGGAGGGTGATGCTCAGGGGGACCTTTGAGCTGAAACTCCCTGAAAACAGGAGGGTCCAGCCTGGATGGGCAGAGCCGTGTCCTTCCTGCAAGGACGAGGTCAGATGCAATGCCCTGAGTCGGGGTTCGCACAGAGCTCGCCCCTCTTGCTGCAGCTGGCTCCAGCATGCTCGGGCTTTGCTAATTGCCTTTGGTGGCTCTTGGTTTTAACCCACCGTGACTGTTCACAGGGGAGTGGTTGAACCCATTTAACACAGGGCTCTAAGTGGCTGGTGGAGACCAGCTTCTGACTACGGGAAATGGCACCGTTAGTTATCACAAGTAACATTTCAGAACATGCAGAGCGCTGATTTAATCAGAGAAATAACCGTATGAGAGTCCAGGCACCTCACGCATATTTATAGCTTTAATTATGTATTATAACATTACCGTGGGCTTGATTGTAGAGTTCTTTGCATGTTCCTACTGATGCTGGCTCGTGTCAGATGCTTGTACTGAGCATATGGTACAGGATTTCTGTACCGGGTTATCCCAAAAGCTACTAGGATCGCAGCAGAACCCCGCCTTTACCAGCTCCATGGTGGGGGTCCCCAGGCCAGCACAGCCCCCCGAGGCACGGGGCAGCACCAGCCTGCCGGGGAGGCTGCACACGGTTAAACAATTGCGGCTGAGTCTCTGTTTCCTCTGTTTCCTCCCATAACCCCACATCCGAGGATGAATGGCCTTTGTTTGATCCCGGCTTTAATATTACAGCTCCGTCCTTAGACCTGCGCGGAGGCAGCTGCCTTTGTGCCGTGGGACGCTGAACCGTCGCCTCTCCCCGCATCCCAACAGGCGTCCAGCCGTGGAGCTGTGCTCACCGGAGAGGGAAGGTGAGAGGGTGTAGCGCCGGTTTCACCAGGCCGGGTGCCTGGCATCAGCAGGGTGCGTGGTCCACCGCATGCTGGATTTTCAGTCCAATTTGCTGGGTGCTTGGGAGAAAAAAAGAGAAGCACCATAATATTTTGCAGATTGGAAGGTCTCAAAGCTGTTAATAAACATCATCCTAATTTTTCCCCTGGAATTAGGCAGGTAATAGACATTTTTTGCAGGATGAGGCTACAGCCACATCCTGGTGGAGATGAGAGACTGAATCATGTCCTGTGGCTCAGGGAGCTGATGTCTCTCTTGGCCGGGGGGTGGAAACCCTGTGAGGAGCCATGGGAGCATCTTCCTCTGGGGCCAGCGGCGGGTTCCCCATGGGATCCCCCATACCTGTGTGCTCCGTCCCTTCTCTCCGCAGCCCCTCATGCCCGCATGTGTTGGGCGGCCAGCATCCCTCCCGCGGGCTGTGCTCACTGTGGTTGATACCATGTGTTTGCTCAGCAGGAACACGCAGAGAAGCATTGCCAGCTGGAGGGCCTGGGACTGACCAGACTGTCATTTATTTACAGATAATGGCGCTTTCCAATTTGTCCAATTACTTGGATGATGTTGATAACTACAGTGACTACCCAGATTACACCTATGAGGAGATTGGCAGCGTGTGGACAGACCCGTCCCATGACCCGAAGGACATTGCGAGGATCCTCTCCGTCATCATCTACAGCGTATCCTGCGTGTTGGGCGTCCTGGGGAATGGCCTCGTCATCGCAATCATAACTCTAAAGATGAAGAAGTCGGTCAATGCCATCTGGTTCCTCAACCTGGCTGTCGCCGACTTCCTCTTCAACATCTTCCTGCCCATAAACATTGCTTACACGGCCATGCGGTACAACTGGATCTTTGGGACAGTCATGTGCAAGTTGAACTCCTTCCTCCTCATCCTCAACATGTACACCAGTGTCCTTCTGCTCACCACCATCAGCTTCGATCGCTACGTGTCAGTGGTTTTTCCCGTCTGGTCTCAAAACCATCGATCAACCAACCTAGCGTATTTAGTTTGCTTGATTATCTGGACCGTCGGCATCATTATGAGCTGCCCGTCTCTTGTCTTCCGAGACACGGCACAAGCCCGCAACTCCGTGATTTGTTTTAGCAACTTTTCCCTCTCCAGGAATAAGTCTTACCAAGCCCTGGCACTAATGAGGCACCGAACAGTGAACATCACCAGGTTCCTCGCTGGGTACATCCTTCCCATAACCATCATCACTTTCTGCTACATCGCCATCGTCTTCAACTTGCGTCGAAACCGCCTTGCCAAGTCCAAAAAGCCCTTCAAGATCATCGTCACCATTATAGTCACCTTCTTCCTTTGCTGGAGTCCCTACCACCTGCTGAACCTCCTGGAAACAGAGCCCGACATGATCCCACGCTCTGTGTTTGAGATCAGCATCCCCATAACCACAGCACTCGCTGCCTCCAACAGCTGCATGAACCCTGTCCTCTACGTCTTCATGGGCCAGGACTTTAAGAAATTTAAGGTCACCATCCTCTCCAGGCTGGTGAACGCCCTCAGCGAGGAGACAGGCCACTCCAGCATCGTTCACAGGAGCTTCTCCAAGATGTCTTCAATGACCGAGAAGGAGACGACAGTCCTCTAAACTCAACCTGGATATCTGCAGGAGGGCCATAGTCCTCCGGTGTTGCCCATGCCCACCACTATGATGGTGGCCACCCTTGCGGTGGCCCTTGGCGAGGGACGAGCATGGTCCAACGCTGTCCTATAGTGTATTCTTTGACTTGTCTTGCTGCCTGGGGGCTGGCAGGCATTGGAGACCACCGCTCTGTGCACGTGGAGAAGATACAACTGCCCTTAATCTTTCTTTGCGATTGCAATGATTGCAGAAACTATTTAAGAAAACACAGGGCATTCCTGTCTAATCTATGCATTGCCTGGCCTGGAAAGGGCGTTGCTGCCGTGCCAGAGACATCGTTATGGGGAGATTGGGCGGAGGATGTGTCTGGGAAGGCACCGCCACTGCCAGGCTCCCAAGATGGGTGGCTCCCAAGATCCGTGGCACCTGCCACGGATGATACCTGCTACGGCAAAACTGGTGACGCTCTTCCTATGGCCTATGTATGCATATAGCAACTCATGTTAAAGTCCTAAAGTATATTGGTACTAGCGCAATACGTTTTTAACTGTGTTGTGAGCACTTTGTACCCAGAGAGGCCCTGAGAAGTGTCTTCATAAGAGGGGTTTGAACATCCCAACCTTGATGAACCGGGAAATCTCGCATGCCTTCTAAGTGATCCAGATGCAGGGCCACCTGCCAGGGTGGGGGATTGGGCTCGTGCACAGGGTCACCGACATGGAAAACTGGGAGAAAAAAGAGGGAAAGATTCATTTGAAGTGTCTTTTGAACAAACCTCACTTTGATGGGTACGTTTCACATGGTACGTTTTGCAGAGCGGTTTGATGCTTGGGGCCATGAGTCCCAGCAGGTCCTTGCAAAGTGCCCAGGTGGCACCGGGGAGCAGGTCCATGGGCTGGGGAGTGCGGTCCTGGGTGGGGGGGGGACCTGCTGTCCCCTCCTGGATCCAGGTGGACCCGGGGACTGGCTCCATTGACGGCTGCTCCCTGGTGTGATCAGTCAGTCCTATGGGAAGATTTTGTCTCTTCCTGACCAGGAGGCAGCAAGTAACCTGCCCATCGCTGGTGGGAGACTCTGCCACCACACACAAATCTCTGCGGTGAAGGATGGGCCGAGCCACCGTCTCTATCCAATTTCATGCACAGTTAATTTGGGAGATTCGTCACCATTTGAGCTTCTTGGCCGTGACACTGGTGTCATGCTTATTTATGTGTTGGTTTCCTCTGTGTCACCCACAGCCTCTCACTCCCAGGAAAGCGAGGAACGACCGAGTCCTCCACCTGCGCCGGCTACCAGAGCAGAGCTGATCCCTGGAGCTGGGTTCGGGCAGTACCCAGTGGTACCAGGGACATTTCAGGGGGGTCCCTGGGGGTCCAACTCCCCCAGGGGAGCTTTGTGCAGAGGCTTGCACACTGGCAATTGAGAGTCTGCTCACAGGTGCCTGCAAAGGCTGAGATATTTATTTATAGGTTTTTTTTTTAAAAAAAAGGAAAAAAAAGTGAAGAGGCAGCTTCCAGGAAAATGCACGGAGCTATTTACAGGCTCCCGTCAGCAGCAGATCATGCCAGACACAGATATAAACCAAATCACAAAGCCCCAGTAATTGAGCTGCAGCGCCGAGCTGCGGGAACACCACGGATAATAGCGGACGCTGTGGCGGGAGCTGGATTTCAGACAGATTATCGGGCGTCCCCTCCGCCCCCGGCACTGCCTCGCTGATCTACCTTGATCTGCATAATCTCGTTAGTGTCGGCATGATGGGGAGAGAGGGGAGCCCCTGCACCCCATGAAGCTGTCGGCGCGCTCCTCTCCCATTGCATGGGGGTAGAGGGACGCGGTGCTGCCTGCAGCATCCCTGCCCAGCGCTGCCAGCCCCTGGCGCTGCCTGCATTGCCCCTGGGACAGGGATGCCAACGGATCCGGTGCTTTTGGCTGCAGTTTTGGTGCTGCTGGATGGTGTGTGCTGGGGCATGTTTGTCCCTCACACCGGGGCAGGGAGGTGCCCGTCCTCACCAGTGTTGCGGGGGATGCTGCAGATCCGGTCTGCTAAAAGTGGGGTGCAGAGGGGTGGGGGATTTATCCTGAAAATAAAGGGTGTCCAGCCTGAGCCCAGAAGGGGAACGCAGTGGGGGGATGGGGATTATAAGGGAAATTAATGGCAGACTGGTGACTGCCACCTGTTGGGTGCTGCTCTCAATAACACGGGGTGGCTACAGGGCACCCAGCACCCAGCCACAGGTGTCTCCGCATCTCCTGGGGGCTGGGAACCAGCAGGCTGAGCAGCACCGGCTGCTTGCCCGGGGAGCAGTGCCCCATACCTGGGCCACACCGTGTGCCATGGCCGAGCCTGGGGCTGCTCCCAGTGCCGAGCCGCCTGCGGGGACCATCCGCATGTTTTTTTCCCACAAAACCTGTGCACGGTCCATAGCCTTGGAAGATGCTGTGATCGAGGAGGCTGCAGGGGAGGAAGGCTTTGGCGGTGGGAGGAGGCTCCCCTCGCTCATGTTACACAGTGTTTAATTACCTGCTGAAAGGTCACAGCGTTCCTATTAGCAGTCGGACAGGACAGATGGGATGGACAGCGCAGATGGACAGACGGCCGCTCAGGGAGGCAAGGGGGACACGCAGAACTAGCAGCAGAGGCAGAGCAGGAGCCCAGGAGGGACGTTTGGAGGACAGGGGCGACGGGGTGCACCCCAGAGCCAGCAGCCACTGATGCTTTTTGGGCTCAGGGTTTGGGGCCACTGAAGAGCTGGGGCAGGAACAGCCGGCGCATCTGGGCTCGCCTTTCCCTGCCATGGGACGGGTTTGGGGGCAGTGTGGGATGGGGGGAACTGGGCAGCCCATGTCCCTTGAGGACCCAGTGCCATACCATTGCCCCCTGGTCTGGTTCTGTGATGCTCCCAGGCCGTGCTGGAGTGGGGATGCTCCTCACTAATTTTCGTGGCTGGATTTTGCAAGCCCATCTATTATTACTGCAAAGAGCTTTCTAAAAAAAAGTGACGACTTGGTATATAACCTTGGGTTAAATCATCATTATAATGACAGCTTGGGAAACCTAATATTTGAGTTCGTCTTTGTAGCTGTTTGCCTCTTTAATAAAAAACCTGTTTTACATACAAATACCCCCCCTACGTGCTCAGGCTCGTCATGTGGAGCAGGAAGGATCCCAGGGCTTTTCAGTACGCAGTCGCTTCCTAGTGTGTATTCCTGATCCCCGGTGTTGAATTTGGGTTTGCAGGAAAGCAGCCGGGAGCAGAGGGGCATGGGGATGTGGGCCTGGGGCTTTATGGCCAGGAGCCAGCGACTGAGATGGGCGCGTGGTGCTCCGAGCCTCTTGTATGGGAGATCTTCCAAAGATGCTCTCTGTGGGTTTCCCCCTTTAATTTGTCCCTGAAGAGGCCAAATGGCTCTTTCGGGGAAAAAAATGTACCTGTGCAAAAAAAAGCAGCTGAAAGAGCATCATTTCCCCTGTGCCCGCATGCGGCACTGAGCCTGGCAGTGGGGGCCGGTGTCTGTTCCCCCCCTGCCTACTTTGTTAATCTGTGCACCGAGCTGCTGCCAGCCTCTCCCCCCGGGTTCATGTCAGCCCGGCGTGTTCTCTGTCGGGTAAGATCTGGCAAAGTCTCTGTTATACTGATTTGAAAGAGGAATTATTAATGCCAGCGCTAAGATGGCTCTCTGCCTGGGAGCTGCCTGCACCTCTCCCGGCGGAGGCTGGTTCCCCCATTGTCTCCTGCACCCCACGAGCCCCCCGCAGACCCACCCTGTCCCTGAGGCTGTTTGGGGGGACAGGGCAGCGGAGAGCGGGTCGGCTGCACCCCAGCGGGCTCCCAGTGCTCTGCCCCCCCACCTCAACATCCATCCAGACACCCCGGGACAAGCAGCGCGTTGCTGCTCCATCCCCTCCCGCTGCTGGTTCCCCCCATCCCAGCAGGGTTTGGGATGAGGATGGGGAAGAGATGGGGAAAATCCCCTGAGTTTCGCCCGCTGGACCCTGTAACCAGCCAGGCATTGAGCAAACCTCCACGGGGAATATCAGTGATTTCTGTTCCCATGTCACCCGTCAAGGCAGGCAGTAAACAGATCAAACAGAGAGCATTAAAAATGCATATATACAAAACAGAAACAGGGCAGAAATAGTCATCATAAAACTTCAGCAGCAGAACCTCTCAGCGTGCACAAGCCTCTTCAGCCAGATTTTTCTTTCCCTTTTGGCAGAGTGGCAAAGAAATGCAGCTCAATATTGCCCCAATTCCTCCGATACTGCTGCAGGAGCTGCTGCCACAGCCCCGGCATCTCATGGGATGGGCAAAGATGCATCCTTTCAGTTCTCCTGGGTTTTTTTGCAGTGCCAGAGATTTTGTTTATTTAGGGGAGGGAAGCTCACCCTGCTGTGCCAGGCTGCAGTCCCCTACGGTGACGGGAAGGTCCAATATATTAAATTGTGGGTCCTTGGAAGCGTCCTGCTGACCCCGGTCCACCCCGCTCCTGCAGGGACTGATAGACTCGCTGCTCAGCTGGGAGACATCCTTAGCTATGAATTAACACCATCCTCTTGATTAATGCTGGCGGGGGGCTAATGACACCGCGGCCAACTCGAAGGTGATGTGCAAAAACTGTAATTAGCATCTGAGGAAGGGGCTCAGTGGGAGCTGCAGCTCCGGGGCCGGGTGGCACGGCCAGCCCTGCTCTGTGCCAGTGCAGTGGCAGCCACCCAGCCGGGGTCTGCAGCCCCTTTTGGGGCAGGAATCGGTGAAATCGGTAACGTGGGACGGGGGTTGCACCTGGGTTTAGTACCTAAGAGTCGAGGGGTGAATGGGATCCAGAGTCACCACCCCCTCCATGAGACCTGCAATTAAGGCTGTCGTGGGGATCATGATTCTAGGGTAGGTCAGGGATGGCTGGGAAAGAAGAGCACCAGGTTTGGGAGCTGAGACACTGATCCCCAGCCCAAGACACCCATGCCCAGCCCTGAGACTCCAGCCCCCAGCCCAGGACCCCATCCCCATCCCTAGGTGCCCGACCCCCAGCCCAGAATCCCCCATGCCCAGCCCTGAGATCCCAACCCCCAGCCCAGGACGCCCAGCCCCAGCCCAGGACCCCAATCCACAACCCCAGGACCCTGTTCCCCAGCCGCAGCCATCCCACCTCTCCCTACCCCACGAGCCCATCGGGGTCCCACGTGCCCCACGTGCTGCAGGGCTCAGCACCCTGGACCCCCGGTGACGGTACCACAGCACGCTGGGAGCCCATGGCAGGACCGGTCCTCACCCGGTGCATCCTCTCGGTGTGCCAAACCTGCCTCGTGCCTCTCCATGCCCCCTCCCTGCTGCTGCATCCCCGTAATTACCCACCGCTCGCAGGGCCCCAAAACTTGGGGCTGGGTCTCATTTCACACGAGTGGTTGGGAAATTACTCCAGAATATACCAAAATCATTTCTGTGGAACACATTACCGTCCTTAATGACTGTTCTTTTTCAATTAGCTGTCACGGCCCTGAAATAAAGCTGTGCTTTCCTTCTCTGATAAATCACTCCCTTTATTTGGAATTGGAATTAAGAAAAAAAACCCAAACATGTTACCCTTTCCCTTTCCTCGATGCCAGGCAGGTTGGAGCCATGTTTAAATTATTCAGGCAGATTGTCAGCTGTAAATTTTACGGAAAATAGTAAAACCAATAAATAAACATGCTTCTCTTGTCAGGGGTGAATATTACTGCTGCTCAGATTTATAACTCGCATCTCCCCTACATTATAGAGCTTTTGTGAAAGTGCTGTCGCAGCTTCTGTATTATGCTGCTGAGGTGGGTTATTTCCCTCTCATTTAAACAGCAGCATGAACTTCGTGTGTGATTTAATTTGGGACGAAGGGACCCCCTTCCCTTCGACCTGCTCTGAGCCCCCCAGCATCATTTGCATCGCTGGGGTCATTGCCCAGAACCCCCTGAATTCACCCCAAAGGGGCATCCGCTGCCTTGGCCGGGGAAGGGAGCTCCAGCCCGAGCCGCTCCTCGGCATCATCTTCTCCAGCATCATCTCCTCCATTGCAGGGACCGGCCTGCTGAGTACAAAACCCACATGGAATTGGGGGAAATGCAGGGAGTTTTGGTGCAGACGCCGTTGCTAGGGCAACAGCTGAGTAACCAGCCCGGGAGGGAGGATGCTGCAGCCTCCGCCAGCGCAGGACCGGGGAGGCAGGAAAACGCTCCCGGGGGTGAGATACTGCAGAAAAAAAGATGATTTTTAATGCAGGAAGCCGGGGAGGGTGGTCAGGGTCACCCCCCTGGCAGCCCCCAGCCCCACACCGGGGCCGTGCGAGCCGGCTGCTCCCGCCCAGGGATGCTCAGGGCTCGCCGAGGCTGAGTCAAGCGGAAAGATTCACTGCTTTCAAAAATCATCGTGAAAATGCTGAGCATTGCCTACCCTGCCTGCACATTTCGGTGCTCTCCAACGAGCCAGGCTAATGGCATTATGGAGGCAGCCGAGCCGGGCGGCTATTACATGTCAAGAGCTTTGCACATGGAAATGATGCAGAAACGATGGTTGGCTTTTCTTTCCAGGGGTAATATAAATTTTATTATTGCATGCCTGTCCCATGTGGTAAAAAAAATAGACTGGCATTTAATAAATAAATAAAAATAAAATAAAATAAAACATAAAACTTCAGAGTCTGCTTGCGGCTGAGCTGCGCGTGCGGGATGAGCAGCTGCCGGCAGGACGGTGAACGCTGCTCCTGCATTAGCCAGGATCGAGACGAGGGCACGGACCCCCGTAAGCCAGGGGTGCATGTGTGTGCGTGGGCAACCAGAGGTGCTGCACACACTTACGGGGAGGCAATGACTTCCAATTGCTCCATTTCATTGCAAAAAAAAAAAAAAAAGCAATTGCGGTGAAATAAAGGCATTAAGCTCCAGCGAGCCTTAAAGCCACGGGGGGGGGGGGAAAAGGTAAGCTGATACCGCTGGTGCTCAGGGAGCTTCCTCCGTCCTTTCACTATCGGCTCTGAAGGGGTTTGGTGGAGGCGGCGGTGCCCCCCGGGCTGTGCGGATGGGGGGATCCCCGTGCTGGGGGTCGCTAGGCTGGGGGCAGCCCCCCTCCCCACGCCTCCCCTTCCGCCTTACAAGCTGCAGCCCAGGACCCAGAGCACGGTGGCTGCGCGCAATGTTGTCTCTTAATTGTTTTATCTCGGAGATTAATTGGCTTTTTGGGTTTCATTACTTCCGAGGGGCGGAAGGGAACACTGTCCCTTCCGCAGACGATGCCTGTCAGAACAAGTCATGCCCGGCGTGCATGTCGATCGCTGCAAACCCAATGCTATAAAAAAAAGGCATTTTCACCAGCTCCAGATACGAGGGCAACTGGCCAAGAGAAAAGGAATAAATTGCGCCGAGCCTGCTCTTGCTCCAGAGCCAAGGAAGGACAGGAGGCAACGGGAATAAAGCCCGCAGTAAATCTCCCCGCTACCACCATGCACCCGAATAAACCTGTGTTTAAGGACACTATAAAGGTAATAAAACTCCCAAGAAAGAGCCACTTTGGTTGCGTTGTCAGTGGTTTAGATGCAGGAATAACACTAATGTGATTAAAGGCGGGGGGAGAGGAGCCGTCCGCCAGTCACTCGCACGTCCCAGGGGACATCCAGCCCCTGGTCTGGGATGGGTGGGGGATGCCGGGGTGCTCGGGCGGCCCCACAAACACACGGGAAGGCAGAATAGCAACAAAATCTCTCCTTTAATAGCTGGATTGACCTGAGGATTTGTTCTGACCGAGGTAGGCAGCCCCGGGGCCGCCGCAAGCAAAGGAGCATGGGGTCAGCTCGATTCCCGCTGCCGGGATGGGGCTCACTCACTCTCCTGGAAAACCTCCAGCCATTTGTCAAGGGAAGAATTAAAAACAGGGAAGCTGCTCCCTATAAATACATTCGCCCACCTCTGGCTCCCAGCAGCCCTGCAGAGACTCTGCGTGCAAAGAAACGGGGACCGGGAGCCCCCAGCCCTGGCATTGCTGCCCATGTCCGCTCCGCACGCACGTTAGAAAAATATATTTTATTTAAATTCTCCTTTTTTCTCCGTGGAGTTTTCTTTTCTCTCTTTGAATATAGATTGAGCGGTGTCTCTAGATTTTGACCTGTGCATGTATTTCTATCAAGATCAAGAGTTAAAAGCCAATCGTTAAATACCTAACTCTAGAAAAGGCTGCGTACAATATATGGCTTTTGCACCTACATCCAAAGGGGAGTTGCAGGTTGGAAGGGGGGGGAGCTCGTTTGCAGCAAAGCCAGGCTGGGGACGGGCTGGGAGGGCGGCGCGGGGTGGGGGACAGCCGGGGACCGCATGCAGCTCTGCACAAAGCCAGCCTGGCGAACGGCATCTTCCCGATGCGCACGGAGATCCTTTGGTTTCACTTGCTCATCGGCAGGCAGCGGGCGAGGGTGTGGGCAGGGCGGGCTCCCGCAGTGGGGACGTGGGCAGCAAAAAGCTCAGCCCCAGGTTTTGCTCCCCGCTGCCGTGCGGGCTTGATGCAGCTGGGCTGCAGCATGGCTCCTGCTCACAGCCCCCAAAACTGCTTCTGGGGGGCTCTTCTGGCACGTGAGCTTTCAAAATGAGGCACGGATGTGCTTGTGGGTCCTGCAAGCTCTTCTGTCCGGGGTCAATGTCCCCCTCTCGAGCATCACCCACACACGTCGGGGTGGCTCCCACCTGCAGCCCATGGGTGGGGGTCATGGGCCCCCCCGGGGCACCGGGGCTGGAGCAGTGACCACATGGATGGAGCAGCAACGTTGCCCGGTGCTGTGGCTGGGGATGCCAGCCTTGCCCCAGGGACCCCCCTGTCCCCAGGCTCAAGGAGGGTCCCTGCGGAGCCAAGGGAGGGTGCGCAGGGGGGACACGGCCACCTTGTTTGGTTGCACCGCTCTCCCTGGCGCAGCCCTCCCGCTCTCCATAACCTCTAACCAGGATCCACGGGAGCATTGCCCACGCGGTGCCAACCCCCCCTGGCTCTTCTCCTTTGGGAAGGCCAATGGACTCCATCCAGGGACGGGCAGCAGCCTTCCAGGGATGGCCAAGGAGCGAGGGGCGTTTGGGGATACCCACCCCAGGGGAGCTCAGCTCCTGTGGCACCGTGGCAGCGTGCCGGCACCGGGGGGTGCATCAGGCACGGCACGAGCAACGCAGTATCCCCGACAGCCAGCCCGGAGGGATGGCACAAATAACCCGCTGCACTGCCAAGGAGGGGTGCAGCAGCTGAAACAGGCGCGGGACGGAGCAGGAACCCTGTGGCGGGGAAGGCATCGTGCATCCCCTCGGCGGTGCCGCCGTGCCCGGGTCCGCGTCGGCGTCAGCCAAGCAAGCTCAGCGATGGCTGGGGACTGTTCGTTGCTCGTGCAGGGAGTTGATTAACAGCTAATAGCAGCAGATGGAGAATTAAAAGAAAAGCCACCCACTGGGTGGAAGTAGGCAGAGGCCGGGGAGACCGAGCCTTTCCTCGCCACGCAGGGTCAGGTCCCCCTGCCACTGTCACCATCATCTCGGATAGTAGTCATCCGGGACTCCCGACAGGTTTCGGAGTTTCAGAGCTGTGTCCACCATTTTGATGTAGCCGCTGATCATCTTCCTCATCTCAGGGGTGTAAGGGTCGTACTCCAATTTTCTCAAGCCGGAACGCTTAAAGTTGCCGTCCTTCTGTCCCTCGACGCAGAGCAGCCTGTCCTCGCAGGCAGTGATGCCCAGCAGCCCCACCATCCGCTGCAGCTGGACAAAGAGGTCCCGCTTCAGGTCCTCGAAGTGCACCACCAGCACCTTCTTGCCGTAGCGCAGCCAGTCGAGGGTGTGGGTCGCCCACCACGGCGCATAGTTCGCCACGAACTCCGGCCACTCTGGAAGGAGCAGAGGACAGGGTTAGTGGGTGTCCCCCGTGTCCCCCGCATCCCCCATCCCAGGGCCACCGCCTGCACTCCCTGCTGAAATCTTTCAATTATCCTTCTCGCTAATTGATCCTCCCATAAAAATCAGGTGATAAAAAGGATAATGAAACATCGATAATAAGCCACAACTCTCCTGGCAGTGCCGTATACATCTATCTCACGATGCATAAAAGCTCTGGGTATCTGCCTCTTCCTCTTGTCCTCCCCACGAAACCAATGCCTGATTAATAGCTTAACTGTATTTAATTCCCTGAAGAATCATTAAACACAGTATCTGTTTCATTAAACAGATACAGGACAATTCACCTTGTGTAATCATATCACATAAAACTTTGCTTTGGAACCGCTCCAGGGATATCGTAAAATTAATGTCACGGAACCAAATGGGTGTTTCACGGCACCCGCGGCCTCTGCGGGCTCCACGCAGGGCTGAGAACGGGGTGGGGGAAGGAAAAGCCCCCCAGCACCGGCACCTGTGGGCGAGGCTGGGGAGAGGGCACGGCTTTTTTCCAAAATTGCCCCAAAATTAGTTCCTGGGAGAAGGAAACGGTTTGGAGAGCCAGGCTGCAGGAAGCAAGGCGCTTTCTGCAGGGAAGACTGGGGATGGGAGCCCCACGCCCTGTCTTAATTACTCACCTTTAATCACTTTTTTTTGTCCTCTGGATGATTTATTTAACCACGCACCCAAGCACTAATTGCAAACTTGGCACAAACGAACTGGCCCCATTGAGCATTTGCTTCCCGCACTGGTGGGAGGGCAGGGTGGGTGCTGATGGTCCCGCGGGGACCCCCGGGCTCCACGGCCGGGGTCCTCCACAGGCTGAGCCCCCACGCAGAGTCAGCGAAACGGGGGTCTCCAACCCCTCCCTGGTGCTGAACCACAGCTCTCAGCAACCCTCCCAGCCCGACTGAAGTCCTCAAGCGATGGAAAATCTCCATCTTTCCGGGCAAGTTGTTCCAATGGTTAATTAACCTGACGATTAACCCATCAGCTAATTACGCCGTACATCCTCTGGAGGGAATTCGGTGATGTATTTTGATGCGCGTCCAAATTGGACTGTGCTGGGGTGGAGGGAAGGGTCCCCTCTGCCTGACCCCCCCTCCCCTCAGGGGCACGAGGCGTGGGACAGGCTTCGGGGGGGAGGGGTTGGGACCGGGAAAGCTCGGGAGGGTTCCCACGGTACTGGGGCTCCAGCGAGGGGATCATCCTGCATTCCCCCTCCCAGCTGTATCTGCAATTTGAAGTTGTCCTTTGGGATGCAGCAGATGGGGATAAAAACTAGCAAGAGGTTCGTACCCCACCACGGCGGGGGCGATGCCAGCCCAGGGACCTGCCCAGGGAGAAAAGCCACTGAGGAAGCAGTGGGACATTTCTCTTCCCTGGTTTTACGGGATTGGGGCGATGGGGAGAGCAGGGCTGGGCCGTCTCCGGCGCTGCAAGCACATGGCAATAACAAAATCCAGGCACATAACAGCAACAACAGCAAAAGCTCCCCTTAAATAAACTCTGAATTAAGGGTAGCAGATGTTCAATCAAGCTAAATATTTTAACTCTTTCCAATGAAGTCAATTCCACAACATCAATTTGTAAATTGCTATAATTAACAAGCCTCCATAATATGCCTGTGCATGGGAAAGGTAGCGTCTCCGGAGCAGCTGGGTGCACAGAAATAACACCCTGCCACCGCCTTGTCCATAGGGATGGGCTGGCGGCAGCCACCACTCCTGCTGCCGGCGCCAGCAAGAGGGAGAGCGCGGCAAAGGGGCAGGGGGCTTCCCCCAGCTGGGGATTTTGCAGGCACTGCCCTGCACATTGGCTGGGTCCATTCTCCTGCGCCTCTGCCTTGGGGAAGGACAGATAACCGGGGCTTGGAGGAGACCTCCTTCCTCCTGCTAATCAGAAACTCAGGCGCGTGTGAGATCGCACTGGACAGGCAGAGCCGGAGCGGCGCTGCCAGCCGGGAGGAAGATGGAGGCAGGTGAGTGACCTGGCAGCGGCGGGCAGGACCTGTTGCAGGTACTATTGCCTTAGGGAGTTATGGGGTTTGTTTCCACCCCACGGCGCTGCCCATGCGAGGGCTGGCTCTGCCGGAGAGCGGGGCTGCCCATCCACTTCTGACACCCCCCCACTCCCCCCAGGCAGGGTGGTCCTGCTGGGATCCGGCTTTGGTGGCAGCATGGAGATGCTGCAGCCCCCACACCGACGCATATGCCCACCAGGTGATGGTGGAGATGTCTGATGGGTCCTGTTATTTTTTAACCTCTCCTTGCTCTCCACCTGCCCAGCCAAGTGTTCAGACCAGCTGCCCTTGGCCTCGAAGAGCTGCTCCGAAGAAGGGACAGAGTTTGGGGCCTTGGGCTCCTGCCCACCCGACCCATTCCCTCCCTGCTGGCACCAGGCTGCTGTCAGACTCGTGTCCCCGGGCACTGCCACCTCGCTGCTGCTGCCCATGTGGCCCAACGCAGCACCGAACAGCCGAGCATCTCTGCTTCCCCATCCCGTCCCGTCCCATCCCATCCCATCCCACCCATGCAGGAGCCCTTGGCCGTGCAAGGTGGATGCTGCGGGTCGTGCCGGTTGCAAGCCCAGGAGATGCCCCTCCAACATGGGGACCAGGCTTGAGCTCTGCTGGGCTTTAACAACAGCCTCATAGCTCTGGCGGCCAGGCTGGAGCTTGCCCACCTGGGTCCTGTGGAAGCGGGGCAGGGGCAGCCAAGCCCACCAGCCTACCTTTGCCCTTCCAGTGGGCGTGAGCCGCGAAGCCGATGTGCCCCCCGTATTTGCGGTTGAACTCCGCCATCAGAGCCTTGTAGGGGTTTCGGATGAGCAGGATGGCTGAATCGAAGGATTCAATCTCCTTCTGGCCACTCTCGTGGGTTTTGATGCAAATCGTCCTCCCGCTTCGCCAGTGGTCCCTCTCGCCCTTGAACCCTGCCGGGACAGAGCAAGCAGGCGCCTGAGAAGTGGCCAGTGACGAAGTTAATAAAAATAATAAAAGCCGGGGAAAGGGAATGATGGGGGGGGGGATATCAGGTTGCAAAATACAGCTGGATAAAAGCAGTTGGGGCCTGAAGTAGAATTTGCATCCCTCTGCCAGATGGAAATCATTTATTTGCCTGAGTTGTGAGTCAAGCCATGATGTAAAATTCATGTATGAGAGGGTGGGTAGCGGGCACGGGGACCGAGCAGGGCTGCCTCCTCCCAGGCCATGCTCGGCTCTTCTCAGCGAGGTGGTCTGCAACAGCCTGATATTGCACAGCCCAGCTTTCCTCCAGGGCAAAGCACACTGGCATTAAATAACTGCATACTGCATTAATGTATCTTATGCTTATATTGGTGGGGTCAAGAACATATTTTTATAGCTATAATCTCCTTGGCCACAGCATTTAAACCCTCCCAATAAATTAAAAAAGGTAAAAAACCCCAAGCCCGTGGGGCTGCAGATGAGCCCAAGGGCTGCAGTGATGCCGTGGGGGGTCCAGAGAGGGAACCACCGTCCCCCATGTCCCCTGCACGGAGTATAGGGGCTGAGCCCGGCATCGCTCCCAGCCCCTCTGAACCCCCGGCCCCTGTAAAGCACAACCCAAACTACCCGGGAACAGTATGTGGGCAGCAGAGCTGAGCTGAGGGGGGAGATAAGCTGTAAGTAGCTGTATTACATCAATTATAGATGTGTAATTTGCTTTCGGCAGCCATGCCGTGCGACGCAGGGACGTGATGGCTAATCTGCCAGTTGCCTGGATACCTCCGGGCCCTCCGACGCGCTCAGCCTAGAATAAACATGAAACCTGCACTCGGTCGGATGAGCAAAACCTTGCTAAGGCTTTCACCCGGTGATGCTCCCCTCCGTGGGACGCGCGATGCCAGCTGCACCCCAGGTGGATGCCAGTACCGGGGGCTGATACAGCCCGGGCTTCCTCACTCAGCGCAGAGCATCTCCATCTCTGAAGGGCTGAATTTGGCAAATCTTGAAGAAATGTGCATCGCTGCCTATGGTGTCGGGCAAGCAGGGCTTTAGGGGGTACGCGGGGTACAGACCTCGGCCGGCTGTGCAGGTACCCCGGGTACAGACCCCACCAGCTACGTGAGTACCCCAGGTACAGATCCCAGCTCCGCCACGGCCAAGGAGGGAAGGAGGATTTCCTCTCAGAGCCGCAAAAGCGGAAGGAAAAGCAGGAGAAACCTTCAAGGTCTATGAATAAAATCATTGTAAATGGCTATAAAATGGGGGAACTGGTCTTTTCACTCCCCCTTGCGATATGGTGGGTTATTGGGAGGAGCTGGCTTCTGCCTGAAAAAGCTCATGCCTGCCTCGAGCTTTTTTTTGGCTTGGAACTTATTCTCGCTGCTTAATTTGGGGTCCCCAAAGCCCACATGCTATTGGCTTTGGTACCAATACAGTGGGCACAGCGCTGCTGCTTTGCCCTGGATGGCACAAGAGGTGGGAGCAACAGCATCCCTCCTCCATTAAATATTTACTGGGCAAATATCTGTGTTGCCCAGGATGGGAAGATGGATCTCCACCAAATCCTTCAGCCCAAGGAGAACAGGCAAACGAGATCAGTTCCCTCCTCCATCCCCCCCCTTCCTGTGAGCTCATCGGCGCTTCTTTGCACTGCAAATATTCATTAATTTGGGTGTCAGTGTTCCCCGGGTGCCCTGATATGTCACTTTTTTTATCTGCAGCTACCTGGGAAGCACATGGAGACGTTTGTACTCCAGGATACTGGTGCCACCAGCACCACCCGCCCCCAAATCCTGAAGCTGCAAGGCTGCACGAGTCCTTCTCACCACACAGCTGTGACTTTCTTCTGCTTCTCACTTTATACATCCTGGGACGAGAGTGCCAAGCCCGCAAACACCAGCTCCTGGGGAAATCTGATCACAAAACCCCATCGGCCTTTTGTTGGGGGAAAAAAAAAATGCAGGAATTGCCTTGTTTGCCAGGGTTGGAGCTCTGGTTCCTCCTCTAGAAAGTTCAAACCCACAGCGGGTTAAAAACCACCAGCGTGATGGAGAAACCCCAGTTCTGCCCCAAATTGGTCCTGGCCAAGGTTAGTGGGCAGCATGGGGAGGTTATGGGCAGGGCACATGTGATGTCGGGTCTCCCCGATACCCTTTGAACCAGGACACATCCAGCACAAACCATCCCATGGAGCAGCATCGGTGGTACCTGGTTCTGCCCTCCCCTTCCTGCAGACCCACGGGATGACACTAGGACCTTCTCCCAGCTCAGGTGGGACCGGTGCACCCCCGGCAATGAACCCCCCTCTCACCTTTGTTGTAGAGAGACCCATCGAAATAGTAGCTGCCGGTGTAGAAGCCAGTGGCCAGCTCAATCAGGTGGCGTGCCCAGGTGTTGCCGGCACCGGGGAAGCTGGCCAGGGCCACCAGCTGCTTGGCACGGGTGGGGAGAAACCTCCTGTCCATGCAGCGGTTGTCTGCAGCGAGAACCGACCAAGGCACATCAGGGCTGTGGCATGGTAACGTGCTTTTCCTACAGAGATATCCCTCTTCCTTGCGGCATGCTGCTGCCTCCTGGGAAGATGCTGGGACAGGGTGCGAGGAGGTGGCTGCTATAGGGAAAGGCACCCTATCTAAAGCACATAGGGACACCCCAAAGAGTCCTGAACATTCCAAAGAGTCCTAAACACCCCAAAAATACCTAAGAAGAGGGCAGGAGGTGCTCTGCCATTACCGGCTGCTTGCTGCCTGCATGATTAGGGGAGAGTGAGTAACATGGGTGCATTTGCCAAGCAATGCCCCTGCTTTTTGTATTGACAAATGCACAAGCGTTTCCAGCAAGGCCTCAAACGCCGAAGCAGGGATTGTGTCAAGACCGAGCCACTCTGAAGCAAAACCCCCTGAATTTGGGTCCTCACTCCATTCAGCCCTTTCCTCTCCCAGTAACAGGTTTCCCCTTGCCCTGTACTTCCCTGTCTCCGTCGGTCCCACCACTGGGACCTGCAGGGCGGTGGGGGACAGGAGCCTTCTCTGCACAGCCTCCCGGGGACTTTCTCTCTGGCCACAGCTTTTTCCCCCCATATTTTTCCCTGGAGCCTGTTTCCCCCTGGCTGGCAAAGCTCCGGCTCACTGGTACTGCTGGTGACAAGGTGGGACAAGCGCCGGCAGGGAGGGATCCTGCTGGAGGCAGATGGCAAACTGCTCTCCCCTGCAGCTGAGTCAGGCAGTAATTAAAGCTGTTTGTTCAGGGGAGGATTGATTTCCCAGGAAATTAAAATAAATGGTAATTTTTAATGAAAGCCAAATACACGCTGCAAGCTCACGCTCACTTTCTGCCAGCGTCCCCGGGAAGGGGTTGGGAAATGGGTGCTGGCACCCGCGCTGGAGTGGTCCCTGCCCGTCCCCCTGCCTGGCAGCAGGCAGGGAGAGCCCAGCGCCGGCTTACCTTGCACTTGGGTCTGGTAGACGAGGAGGTATTCGGCAGTGCCGCAGCTCTCAAACTCCTCGCCAGCGCATTTCTGGGCGCAGAGCTGCTCGTCCTCGCGCTCGTGCAGGGTGAAGAGTGTGGTGGGGAAACCACAGCGGCAGGCGGTCCCGGCCAGGGCCGACAGCGGGTACTCCTGTGGGGACGGGCAGAGGGAGGGCAGCCAGCAGCACCGTCCCCGTCCCCCACGGCAGACCCTTCCTCTGCCCCCCACTCCCGTCCTCGCCGTCCCGGCCCCACTGTGCAGCACAGGGCGGCTTGCAGCATCCTTCCAGCCAGCTGCAGCATCCCTCGAGCCGGTTGCACAAGCAGCTCGTTGCTGACACCCAAAAACACCTGAGCCCCAACTTTCCCGTGGCACAGCTGAGCTGCCTGCTGGTGCAGGCAGCAATGCACCGGGCGCTGGTGCTGCCGGCAGAGCCGTGGCACGTCATTTGTGAGTTTCCCACCCGCACCAAGGTTACTAAGAGCCCATGGATGGCCCTGCAGCAGCCTCGCTGGCGTTTCCAAGCCCGGAGTTACAAGACCCATCTGGTGGGTGACAGATGATTTACCGCCAGGCTGTGGCAGCGCCGGGTTAATCGAGGGGCTCTGGTTATTTACATCTCCTGGCCCCAGCTCTCCGGGCAGCAATGGGAAAGTGGAGCCAGCGACGGAGCAGCTGCTCATATTTAACTGGTGCGATGGTTTATTCCCCACCGTCCTCTGCTGGGGAGGCCACAAAGGGAGGACAGGACTGTCCCCACCTGCAGGCCTTTCTCTTCCTCTGCCTGATAATTTACCTAATTTTAATTAATAAATACTCCAGCAATGCCCACTGCCAGCCTTTCCCCTGCCTGCTTATAGGCATCATGCCCTAGGAGCAAACTGCACTGCAGCATCCCTGGACCAGAGCAGGACCCCGCGATGCTCCTGCCCAAACACCCCCTGGGGCGGCTGCTGCCTGCTGGGGGGGGCAAAGCCACGGGGAGCAGGCAGGGCAGGCAGCGGGTGCTGCCCCTGCGGGGAGCTGCGGGCCAGTCCCTCCCCGCGGCAGAGACACAGACAGTCAATACGATCGTTTGTAGTTTGGATATACATAATTGTTATAATAAATGGGATTAAAATTTACCCAGTGTGACCCTTTCTGATGATGAAGATTTAGATGATTAAGCTTTCGACCTGCACCTCCCCCCCGCCCTCCGGTACCTTCTCGGTGCAGAAGTCCACGCACTTGTCCACCGACATGTTCAGCATGAGCTGGCTGACGGGCAGGGCGATGGAGATGTTGTCCGGCCGGCGGAAGCACCCCCGAAATATTGCGCTGCCGTCTGCGAGGGAGAGAGGTCACAGCGGCACTGAGAGCGATGCTGGCCTGACCATGAGGAGCAGGGTCTGCACCCCAAAAATGACGCCGTTGCCACCCCGCGCGCCCCAGGCTCGGGAGCAAGAGCCTCTGCGTGCCCCGGTGTCCCCATCCCCATCCCCCACCGCTCCTCTCCAGCCGCCCATCGGCACAGCGGCTGCTTTTCTCCAGCTCTCGTCACCCTCTGGCTGCGAAGCCGCGTTTGCTAACAAGCTCGCCCGGCTGCTTACGGTGCAAAATCAGAGCAAAAGCCCTGGCAGCAAAATCGGGTTTATTTTTTCCTCCCTATTTTTATCAGCTCGGTGATCCCAGGCTGCAGGAGGGATGGAGCTAGTGAGGAGAGCAGGGTTGGGTCTGGCCTGGTCCCCCCACCGGCATCTGTGCCCCGAGGGGTCCCATCCCGGGTCCTCACCCACCGCTGCACGTACCCAGACACCCTCGGCCCCTCTCCGGGACTGCTACTCCACCGGGTACGTGGTGGTGGTAGCTCTGAATGCTGCCACCCTCTTTCCCCTTGCTTGGGGACGAGGAAAGAAAAGCAGCAAATGTGGGTAATTATAGTGCTGCCTAATTGGGAGCCAAACAAGCGCTTCTGACAGGGAGCACCCTTGGCTCTCTCTGGCGCTCCCGCACATCCTTCATCCCGCAGCCAGCTCCACCGGCAGCGCACACTGAATGCAACGATGGTCCTGTTTGGCCATCAGGAAAGAGGTCTTCATCCAAAGTCCCCCAAAATGCCCTGAATTCCTGGTGAGGTCCTTGGGGCTCCCTGCTCCAGCCCGCCCCGGCCGGCAGCCATCCCCACAGGGGGGTCCCCGCGGTTCGCAGGAGCAAAACTACCCCAGCCGCAGACCTGAACCACTTTCAAACCACCTCTCCCGAGCTGTGACCCAGCTTACGCAGCGCAGGAACGCCGGGCCTTGCCCCCGCTGGCACCACAAGGGGTTCCCCCATTTCGGGGCCGAGCCGGGAGCCGCATCGATGCTGCCGACTTACATCTCCTGGCGGACTCCTGGGCCAGCTCCAGGCGGTAGATGGAGAGGCGGTTGACCCCGCCGCAGGTGTTGCTCCTCTCCCCCTTGCACTCCATGTTGCACTCGGACTCGCTGGCATTCGACGCCTGGACCTTGTGCCCGCAGTAGCACTCGGCGCCAAATTCCAGCCCTGCGTAGAGGTAGCCCCTGGGGAGAGGGAGATGGGGGGGGCTTAGCGTGTCCCCAGGCATACCCCCGGCTCCACGGGGTTTTGCGGGAGCATCCCCACTGCAGCCAGCTCACACCCAGCGCTGGAAGCAGCACTGCATCCCAAGGATGCATTGTTGGATTAGATGATCATTGTAGGTCCCTTCCAACTGAAAATACTCTATTCTATTCTATTCTATTCTATTCCAAGGGAAAGGGCTCCACGGGCCACAGAGATCATAAAGCAGGAGACAGAGACATTTCTTACAGGCAGGGAGGATGTAACGGGTGATGGTGGAGCAGGAATAAGTGACGGGGACTTTGCTGGGCTTCAAAGTGGGAGAGCTGTGCTGCTCGGTACAGATTGGATTTGAAAGGGGGAGGATTGCAGCACAGGCGGGCACTTGCCAAGTGTCAGCAGAGCTGGAAACCCGCTGGAGAGGGGCAGTGCCGGGCTGGCAAGTCCCACCGCGGGGCTGCCAGCGCTGCGGAGGGGCTCTGGCGTGGAACAGCCCTGCATCGGCACTGCCGAGGATGCCCCGCAGCAGTTGGCTCGGCTCATGGCACGTGTCCGTCACGGCGAGCATCCTGCTGAGGTGGATGAGCCCTATGCAGGGGACATGCCACTGCCCCAGTGATCAGCGATGGCCCTTTGCAGCAACGTCCCCAGGTGCTGTGGGATGCTGCACAGATGGGCTTCGGCTCCAGGGGAGTTTGGAGGCAACAAACTGCCTGCAATGCCACCCGCCCCACCGGCACAGACCACATTTAGGGCACATCCTTCGTGTAACGTTAGGGAAAGGAGAAAACTTCTGCAGCAAGGGATCCATGTGTCTCCCCAGCTTCTCACAGACGCGCTTTGACAGCTGGGAAGGTCTGGGAAGGGTATTTTGGTGGGGGACGGCGTTTTGGTGGGGCCACCCCTGGGTGGATGGAAGTGCTCAAGGCTCCCCCAGCACCGAATTGGAGCCCCCTGCCCTGTACGAGGATGGAGCCCATCATCCCCCCTGACCTTTTTCTGGGGGAGGAAACTGGGGTCCTGGAAAACACCAGTGAATTAAAAAAAAAAAAAATCAAAATGACATAAATCTAAAGAAAAAAGACGGAAGGCGGGACGAAGAGGAGGGGAGCAGCCGGGGCAGGGAACTGTGACGGCAGAGAAACACTGGCGGTGTGTGGGAATTGATGAAGACGTGGTGCCCATCTCCCGCCCTACCGTTCGGCACAGTTGTCCTGGCAACGGAAGACTGTCATCTTCTTGTAGTCAAAGAAGGACACGCCGCGCAGCGTTCGCCGGCGAGTGTTGTCCACGTAGCAGCCGACATATCTTGCTGGGGGGAGGGTAGAGGAGAGGAGGGTAAGAACCAGCTGGGGCTGAGCCCACCAATTCCCACCCCCCTCTTTTGATTTTTCCCTAAACAGGGATGCGCAGCAACGCGCCCTGTTCATTTGCTTTAGAAACACGTGCTCTGGGTACATGCCCCTGCAAACACTGCAAGGAAAGGTAGGCAAAGCCCAGAAACACCCACTATGGATAGAAAGGATGCTGTGGCTCTGCACTGAGGCTTCTCCTCTCTGTCCTCTTCCTTCCCACCAGCTTCAAAACTGAGCAAAGTGGCTCCAAAAAGAGATGAGTTACATGGTAAAATAACCCATCCCCTTCACTCTGCCCGGCCAGGAACACAAGGGTAGGCAGAATGGAGAAATACGGGTTAATACAAATTTTCCTCAGCCAGCAGCTCATTTTCCCCAGCCCCAGACATCGATGTGAAGGATATTTGCCCAGCGCTAACACTTGGCAAAGTAAAGGCTGATGCCTGTGCTGAGAGCAAATGAAGATGCCAGTAGACAGGGAATAGAGCTGAATAAATAGTTACGATGAAATCATTTATTTGACAAATGTAGCCTTTCCCAATAATCTGAAAACAAACAGCCGTCTCCTCGCCTGCGTGCCTGTTGCGTCACTCTGTGTCGGCTGCGGGCTCTTGTTAGGGGCAAGCTGGTCCATGAGCCGTCCCCGGGCAGCCCTGCGCCACCAGCACCTGCCCTGTCCCCGCTCAGTCTCCTCGTTAGGTGCCCTCATTAGTGCCCCACTCCTGCTCCCACCTGAGCATTTGCTGTGGGGAAGACGTATTGCCGCCAACGCAGGGTTGCAGTGCTGGTGCAAGGATGCTCAGCACCCTCGCTGCCACTGCTGCCCAGGGAGGACAGGGGTTTCGGGAGCCGGTGGGATTAGCCATCTGGTAATCAGCTAACGAGGTGTCCATTAATGTGTTCTGGCAGAGGACAAGCAGGTCGGCCACCCAGTGCGGGTGCCCCAGGGAGAGGGGAGGGCAGCCCCAGGGACCAGTGGCCGGGTCTTACCGGCCCCGGGGGCAACGGCAGAGCTGGCTTGGAATCCCAAACCAGTCTGGTTCACCTCGCTCCCTGTTTCAGATACACATCCTCGATGAATATAACAGCAAACTATCGCTTTTCATTACCCTGAAATATCTGCTCCACTCTCAGGGCAATCTTCTGCAGGACGCTGGCCACGGGGCAACCCTGTCCTGGAGAAATCCTTTAGCCCGTGTGGTCGTCACTGGCCTCTGGCTTTGAGATGCTGCTGCAGGGTCCCAGCGTGGGTACACAAAAGGAGAGGCTCCTGTCCCTTCAGGGCCACCGGATCCCAAGCCAAGGAGTTGTTTTTCACAGCACCAAACACCCCTCCAGCTGTGCCACCCATGGCTCTGGCCCCAGCACCCCGGCCGAGGGGTTCTGGGAAAGCACTGGGACATCTGGCAGCACAGGACTGGGCAGGAGCAGAGGTGAGGGCTCCCCTGCTGTGGTCAAGAGTGAAGCCATGGCTCTGGGCAAGCAAGGTGCATCTTCCCATACATGATTACCACCCCGTGTCTCTCCTTCCATCTCTGTGTCTCCATCACACACCAAATTATCCCACTAATAGCAGAGCATCTCTACATGTGTACCAAACCACACTATGGGATAATACTTCTCACCTCCGGCTTGCATTTTGCATCTGTTGGGGGGTCCCTGAACCAACTCCACGTGTACACCCCATCGATGGTGTGCCCCACACAAAGACCCCCACCCTCCCCACCACCCTGCACGGTGCAGGCCCCACCAGTGCTGCAAACCGGCTTCCCTGAGCCAGCCTGGAGGAAGGTGGAGGAGAAAGACTGAGAGAAATGTGCCTGATGATAACTTTAACCACCAAAGAGTCGTAACTCATTGCTCCCAATTACTCTCAGCATAACGTGGCGTTTCCGCAGCGCTGAGCAGGTTTCAGCAGGTCAGCTCATTTTGGTCATGACAGATCTAAGCGGTGCAGGATTACTCCAGTCATTTGCACAGAACCGGTGACTGATGTGCATTACCTTCAACCCATTGCTCTTGACATATGCGTGCTGCAACTTATTAGGAAGGCAACTGGAATAATTAAGGAGATACGAGGACAATAAGTGAAGGAGGGGCGAGCAGAGGGAGATGCTGAAAGGTGCGTGGTCGGGTTAGGCACAGCTTGCAGGAGGGTGCTGAGCAGCAAGAGGGGAACCTGCCCCAGCACGCAGCTCTCATGGGGTCAAGAGGAATTTCGGAGCATGTTGGAAACATGCGTGTGAACAGACACACAGATCCACCCAGCAATAAGTCATCAAATTCCCCAAATGTCTCACTCTTCCAGGAGCTAGGCTGGTCACTGGGGCCACTGGCATTGCAAATTCATGTTTAACATCTTAATGTAAAGCTTAACGTAAAGCTTGGTCTTCCAGAGAGCACCACAGCTCTTGGCTGTGGCGCAGCACATGCGCACAAACTGCTTTGGCGCTGGGGTCCCTGTCGGGTGTGGGCAAGGGGTGCAAGCAGGGACCCCCTGGGTGATGCGCCCCCGCTCAGGGCCAGCTGGTGATCCTGCTTGCATGGGGAAGCGAGTCGTACCCCTGCAACGCCGCCCCGACCCACGGGGTGCGCTCAGGCTGCTCCCCTGTCCCAGCAGCAATCACTTTGGGTCACTAATGACCCCCCCGGGGAGCATCCCAGCAAATCCCAGCAAATCCCCCAGCCATGCTCTCCAGAGCGGCGCCATCGGGACCCAGCTCCTGTGAGCCGGGCGTTGGCACTGCTGGTCTGCCTGGGGGCAACACCTCCTCCCTGCTCGAGCAGCCCCAGCCCCTCGCCGGGTTCTCCCAGCACCCACCACCGCAAGCTAAAGGCAGAACAGAAGTGTTTTTACAGGGCTGTGCTGCAGGGTGATGCTTGAAACAAATATCTGCCCTTGATCTTCCAGCTGGTTGATCAAAAGCCTCGCGCTGGGCACTGAGCCCTCCCAGCCCCCCGACGCTCCCTCTGCAGCTGTCTGCCCAGCAGAGCACCGATGGCTCGCCGACGATGGGCTGGGGGCTCACCCCTGGCATGTGAGAAGGGAAATGCTCCATGTGAGCACAGGAAAGAGCAGGTGGATATTGGTGGCAGCAGCTTCAGGAAGGGTGACCCATGCTGACCACCCCTGGGACAACTGCGCTGGTGTCAGAAGATATAGGGACGTCTTCGGCTGCGTGCCTGGGGTGGCTGGTCCCCCTTTCTTCATGGCATTGCTTGCTCGTGTGTCACGGGGAGCCCAGCCCCAGCCGGGAATGGCTGGAGACGTCCAGCAAAGGACCAGAGATGGATGTGGGAGAGAGGAAGCGATGCCGGGCATTGCCAGGCTGGGGCCGGTGCTTGCTCCCCCCAGCTTCACCGTCCAAAAGTGCCCCCAGATTTGAGGCAGGAGATGTGCCTTCGCACAGGGATGCAGATGAGCCAAAGCCGTTCCCTGGCAGACGGGGCTGCCCTCAACCCGTGCCTTGGCCTGACCCTGGAGCTCCACCAGCGCAGCCAGGAGAGGGAGGAGGAAGAAGAGGAGGCGGAGGGGGAGGAGGAGGGAGGCACATCACCCTGGCAAACCAGAGCCACACATCACGCTAGCTAAACCAGAGCTGTTTTTAGGAGCAGTATTCCCTCTGGAATGATTTCACGTGGCAGAGCTTCCACAGACGCCTTGTTAAGCCGTCTCCTGCTTAATTACGGAGGAGGAAGAAGAGGAGGCGGAGGAGGAGGAGGAGGGAGGCACATCACCCTGGCAAACCAGAGCCACACATCACGCTAGCTAAACCAGAGCTGTTTTTAGGAGCAGTATTCCCTCTGGAATGATTTCACGTGGCAGAGCTTCCACAGACGCCTTGTTAAGCCGTCTCCTGCTTAATTACCACCACCATTAAAACCTGCCTGCTCCTGCCAGACGGCCCGGGGAAGCAGCAGGCGCTTTGGAGAGGGGCAGGGGAGCGAGGCACGTACTCAGCGCCTGTCCCCCGAGGTTCTACCAGCCCCGCGGGCACACCGGGCACGCCGGGCTCGGGGGATTTCTCAAGCTGGAGAATTTCTCCGCACCATCCTGCTCGGGAGCTGCCAAGATGCTCGTGTGGTGGCACCGCACCGCCTCCAGCTGCCACGTCTGCGCTGCTCCCATTAACCGCTGCCCATGCCAAGCCTTCCCATGTGAGATTAAAAAGGGGGAAGATGATATTCCCAGACCACCTAGAAGCAGCTAACGCCAGTGATGCCTGAGCCCAGCATCCCTTCCCCGTCCCTCGCAGCCCCCACCATGGCTGGGCACGGGGAGGCGGCGGCGCCAGCAGAGGTTAATCGCGGTGGACGCGTTGCATATGGCCGGGGTCAGGAGCGCTGCTTGGGGTTTTTATGGTGACTGACAGCTTGGGCTCACGAACCATCTGGTGAGGATTCGCTAAACGTCAAATCGCATTAATGGAGCAACGCAGCCACACGCACCTCAGAAACGCTCCCGGAGACCCCTCTGCACGATGGCACAACGGGGAAACCCCCTTTCGTCTCATTTTAGCATGAGAAAGTCCCTTAAGCACCACAAGCCATTTTTCCTCCTGCTTCCAAGCCTGGACTGTGCATCTTGCCCAGAGTGAACCTGAGCACAGACCTGCTGTGGGGCCGGTGGCTGGGGAGGAGGCCCCTGTGCCCCGGGAGCAGCCTGGGTCGGGGGGGACCAAGCCTGGCTCAGCATGGTGACCCCTGTGAAACCCCCAGTTTGCCATGGGGTTGGGGGTTCCTGCTTCTCTCCGAGCCACACACCCCCTGCTCCATCAAGGGTCCGGGGAGCTGTGGCTCCCAGCCCGGGATGCCTGGGGAATTGCATGTGCCAAGCCCCACGGGGCAGCTCCTGTCCAGCTTTGGGGCACAGGCTTGCTCACACAGCAGCCTTCACAGGCACCGGGGCTCCCCGTGAACGTGCATCCCCCCACCAGAGATTTCGCCCATCCTGGGGCTCAGGAGAGGGGAGCGAGCACCGACAGGCAGAGAAGAGCCCGGCAACATCCCAACACCTCTCCAGCAGTTACCGCTCCCGCTCCCAATTCCCTTCTGAGTTTCCTTGACCAGCTGATGCTGCAGCTCCTGCCCCGAACGCCAAGGCATCCAGCACACCGCTGCTGCAGCTGCGCGGCGCTGGAGCAATAACCTGGATTGCTCCTTCTCACCAGCCCACTTTATTAACGACAAGAAATCGTAATGGCTTTCACAGCAGCTGAAGGCCGGAGATGCTCCTTCGCCGGGGGGGGGGCTGCAGAGCCGGCAGAGAGGGGACGCGGGGTGTGTTTGGGTGAGGTTTGCTGGCACTGGGTGCTCGTGGGTGCCAGCGTGGGAGGCGGTGAGCTGAAAAACCACTGGGAATGCAAAAGCCCTGACGGGCAGCTCCCAGCCACCCAAATTCAGAGCGAGCGTGCAACTCTGTCTGCATACAGCTGCCTTCAGGATAAATAGATGACATTTTAAAAATCAATGACAACTACTACATTCGCTTATCTTTGTTCAATAATAACGGTCCCACTTGACAACACACCACGCACCCCAGGCAGCAGCCAGGCAGGGGTCTCCTGGCCAAGAGAGGCCAAACCCCAGCCCTGCCTGTACCCATGTCTGCCTGCACTTCAGTGCCTGCAAGGCAATCGCAGCCAGCCCCTGCCTGAACATCCCAGCAATGCAAACAACAGGCCACAAATCTGGTTTTAGTGTTCATTGGGGCCAACAGAATTAAAACTGAATTTGGCCCGTGGCACAGCCAGAGGATGGGATGAAGATGGGGTGCAGCCTCTCCCCAGCTGGCACCCCCAAAAGCACCTGTCCCAGCAAGGTGCGACTTGGAGCTTGATGATGCACAAGTGGGAAAGAGTGAAAATGGAAAAATGAAAGTGGATTATTGGCACTTGGGGAAGGAGGAAGGAGGGGAAGGAGGGAGGAGAAGATCTTTCTGGGAACATCCTCAGGACCAGTGGTCTCCAAAGCGGGGTGCTGCGCCCCAGGGGATGCACAGGGCAGTCCATTGGGGTGCGGGAAGAAAATCTGAGCGCTCGAGTAGCACATGCATATGGTTTATAAATAAATAAATACACATTTACTGGGGCTGCGTGCCCAGAAATTTGTTCCTGGTAGGGGCACACGACCAAACCAGCTCGGAGACCGCTGCCCCAGCGCACGAGGCTTTCCCTGGGAGAGGCCAAGAGGAGGGACCCCCACCCGGACGCGTGTGTCCCCAGCCCTTACCTCTGTCCTCCTCCTTCTCGCGGCCGCTCCTGCCCCTGAGCACCCGGCTCTGGGTACTGCCGTAGTCTCCAGCTTTGCCCCTCTCTGCCGGTTCCTTGGAGGTGCTTTTGAACCAGGGTCCATGCCGCCGTCCCCCCTCCGGCATCGTCGCTGCTGCCTTGAAGCCACGGCTCAGCTGCATCACCCCCAGGTAGGGCAGCCCCGGTCCCTCGCCGGCCCCGGGGCCGTGCTGGCTCCCCGTCACCGTGGGCTCCCCAGCGAAGCCCGAGTGCAGGAAAACCAAGCTGCCAGCCGCCAGGTAGAGAGCCAGCAGTGTGAAGAAACGCACAGGTTTTCGCCGAAAATACCGCTGGAGTTTTACCAATAATTTGGCCATAGCGTCTTCATCCCTTCCCCGGCAGCTGGCGCCGCGGGGGAGCTGCTCTCCTGCCCCAGGGATGCTCAGAGGGGGGTTTTGCCCCCCCCCCAGGCTGGAGGTGGCTCCCAGGATGTGCCGGGGAGCAAATGGGTGCCCCAAAACCGCGGTGGGGGCTGCAGGGTGAGGCCGTGCAAAGCTATTGCCTGACCCTATAAAGTCCAGGAGGGCTGGGGAAGGCAGCGGGGGCAGATTTCGGGGCCCCCCCACCGTGCATGGGGGGGATTCTCCAGCGCTGGCTGTCACCGCCGTCCCCAGTTTATTCTCCTCCCGGCAAAGCCCCCCAGCCGTGCCCCAGAGACTCGGCTGATGGAGGGATCATGTTAAGGAAATCGAGGGTTTGAAGGTGATTTGAAAGCCGATCAGCTGACGCAGCTCTTCTCGCTCGCCTTTCCGCTCGGCGGCACCGGCTCTCACAAGCATCTCTCTAATGGAAACGGCACCGTCGCCCTTTCAGACAAAGAATGAAAAGTCCCTGGACCGTCTCAGGGCCTGAAACGCTGACTGGGACCCTTTGTCTAACAAAGCCCCATTCATCTCACTCCCAGGGCAAGAAATCCTCACCTGCAAATCAAAGAGAAAGGCACACTTAGGAAAGCGTCCCAGGACATGGGGAGGATTGCAGTCCCCGTCTCCCCACGGGGCGAGGAAGGATGCCCGGGCTCTCCTTTGCCTTTCAGCCCTGCAGAGGGGCAGTTCAACCTCCCCCCCAGCACAAGGATGCTGGACAGGCAGGAGAAGTCAGTGCAGTGGGAGCGATGCTGGCTTCCCCAGTCCCGGGCTTAGGGACAGGCATGTGGGGGTGAGCCCCGACTCCAGAGCCCACACAGTTCTGTCTGGTCATGCAGGAGAGGTGCTATAGGAAGGCTCTGGGGCACATGGAGGATTTCTGATTTCACCCAATTTCACCCACAAGAGGATGAGCTGTGCACGCACACATCCACATGTGCATACACATCCATGCACACACATACATATGCACGCACGTCCACACACTTGTGCACACACATGCACACACACACATGCACACGCATTTCACCCCTAGACCTGAACGTGTCTACGCACCGGCTAGCCCTGAGCGAAGCCCCCAGAAAGCGAATGCCTGCCCTGGGAGCCAGATGGGCAGCAGGGCAGGAGGCTGCTGCGAGTGGCTGCTCCAGCAGCCAGGCACCCCGCTGCCTGGAAGGCCCCATGGGAGCATGACGTCCCCACGTCACCCCCAGCGTGGCTCTCCCACATACCCCCATGGCTGTGTTTCAGCCCGTCGTGCCCCCAGCGAGGCTTTTGCAAAAGTCGAGGCCAGGTCATCCTCTGTTCTCCAGCCAGGACCAAAGGGCTGACCATCCCCATTCGCACCCTGCCAGCCAGGATCAACACGGTGCTGCCCCGGGAATGCCATGGCCGGGGGCTACCCGGGGCCATCCCTGGTGGCTCACGGCACGGGGAGGGCAGCCATCCCGGGGAAGGGACAGTCCTCAGAGGGATTTCTCTCCTCCAAACCCCCCAGCTATGGAGGATGTGCTCCAGCCCTGCCCGGGACAAAGCCATGCCGGGTTGCACGGTGGGTCCACCTTCACAGTGGGAAACCCCACTGTCACCGCACCCTGCTGGCACATCGGCGGTGGCAGGGACGGCCCCATGCCCGGGGTGTGCTGCCTGTCACGGACTCGTTTTATTTTAGGAAAGGAGATGAAAATAAATGGAAAGACAAAGTGCCATTAGTTTAATGGCCTCTATGTTCCTGCCATCTGTCTTCAGTTGATTAAATAAAAAATATTGGTGGAACATATGGTATGAATTATACATAAATATTTTAATTTGGGTTCCCAGAGTGGTTATTCAAATACCCCTGGCTCTGCCGGGTGAACTTTTGTGGACCTCAGGGCTGGGCAGGCTGCACAGGACGGATTGCTGGTGGGGCACGAGCCCCCAAACCATCCCCTCCCCGGCCACGCTCGGGGCCAATGCGGCCTGAGCAAAGGCTGAGTAAACTCAAGAGTAGCAGCCGAGCAAGGAGACTGCTTGCTATTCAGGCTTTTGCATCTGCAGGCACCTCCGTGGCAAGAGAAAGGCACAGGCAGCACCCTGGAGCAGCCAGGGCAGGTGGTCCGGCCCCCACCACGGTGGGTGAGCATCCCCCAGCCTGGCGGTCCCATGGACCCGTCAGTGCTTGGCTGCTCTCCCACACTCCCTGGCCGGCGGCCAGCAGGGAAGGGCTGCTCCATGGGAACCCGAATCCTCCCTTCCCACACAAGTTGCTGCTCTGCACTTCAGCCCACCTTCCCAGGGCTTTATACGGGTGCTGAATACGGGGTGGTTTGGGACACTACTGGGGTGCAAACGGGACAGTCCCGGGGCTGTTCCCGGTCCCCAGCGTCCCTGCTGCCGCCCGCCCTCCTCCCCGCCTGGGCTTGGTCTTGCCGGGCTATGACAAGGAAGCACGGCATATAAAGAAGGGGCTTAAATTACTATCATTAAGCCATCTGGAGCTCATCCTTCTCCATCATGAACTGTGGAGTCGCAGGTCAATTACTGCACATTTGCATATATTCCATTAATGCTTCTGCTAATTGTCTGGAGGAGATAATGTGCTCAGCTTACGGCTCCCTTGCTAGCTACAGTTTACAAACAGCGAGTGCAGCAAACAGAGCCGGCACCAATGCTCCCCGTGTCGGTAGAGGCTTGGGACATCGAGGGGCTCATCAGGGGGGCCCCACCCTGCTGGTGGCCATCCGGGATGGAGGATGCCAGCAGCACCCCATGACGCTGCTCCGTGCACTCCACCAGCCCTCCCCGTGTTGTAAGGATGGATCCACTCCCCCCAGTGCAGCAGCATCGGGGTGGAAGGACCAGCCACCTCGGCTGGACCCCGCGGGTTCCCATCCCCACCGCAGCCTGCAATGGTGAGTGTCCCCCAGGGGTTGCATCCTGCCACCCCGCTGCCTGCACCCCATGCTGCCTGCACCCCGCGCTGCCCAACCGGGCTCGGGCTCTGCCTCCCGCAGGCAGCAGGGCAGCTCCTGCTGGGGCTGCCGTTCACAAGCAGAACTGGTGCCAGCCCAGCCTGCGGCACGGCTAGAGGACAGTAGTGACATATTTTACCAGCCAAACTAACGAAGCTAACGGGGACATTAATCAGCCAGCGCGGTGCAGCGGGCAGCATCGTAAGACTGGGCTTTCGTCAGCTGCTGCGGGCGGCCGGGTACAAAGGCTGTGAGGAAAACTGCTGCGGGCCATGAGCCACGTCTGCTGCCTCAGCGCTGGGACAGCCAGGGCACAGAGGGGATTTATTCCCCAGCCTTTGCTCAGTTATTACCTGCTGTGCCCAGCCGCTCCCGGCTGTGGGAGTGGGGCTCTGTTCGGGTCCCAGGGGATGGATCCAGCCCTGGGGAGTCACGTGGCTGGAAAGTTCCCCCCGGCTGGGGGCATCCTTCCCTGCCCCCCGGACCCCCTTGGCACCCAGAGCCAAAGCACGGCAGAGCCGACCGGGGGCATTTCCCAGGCACTTTGCACCATTACAAGCAGGCAGCGGTGTCCAGCCAGGATGGAGGGGATGGGGGGGCTGGTTCCTCACCTACCTCCATCGCCACGCTCCTGCCAAGAGCCGAAATCCTCGTCCCAGCAGCAGGATGCTCGGCAGACCATCGCTCCGCACCCAACCCACTTCCTTCTGTGGTGGCAGCAGTACCGAGGCAGGCAGAAAGCAGGCGAGCTCTGCCTGCAGGTTTGGGGCTCTGCAATTACTTGCTGAGGGGCCAAGGAAATCCTCATTAATTTGCAAGGTTTACCTTCCCCCCTGAGCAAAGCCGGCATGCGGGAAGGTGGGCACGGGTCCTGAGGGGGCTCCGCCGAGCAGCACAAGCATCTCTGAGACCACTCGTGACCGGGATGACTGAAGTGCCGATAAATTATACATTTGGGTCTTGTCTCCAAATTGCTCTGCAATTATTGAGCACCAAGGTTCAGTTGCCTTCAAGCACCACCTCACATCTGACCTCGGCAAAACACACTGAAGGGCTCACGTGGTTCCCCCAGCACAGGAGAACAATCAGCCCATTAAAAACAGCAAATTAACGAACACAAGAGTTCCATTAGGATAAGGCAACCGGACTATCCAATTTCATCACATCATTAGAAGGCTACCGGACTATCCAATTTCATCACATCATTAGCATTTCTTATCAGAGGGACAGGGAAAGAATAGGGCTTTAAAATACAGAGGGATGGGATGGAGTCTAATGACCACAACAGGGTGATGTGCCCAGGGGCCCTTGTCCCACCGGAGGGCTGTGGCGCAGGCGCTAACCTCTGTCCCGCGTCACGGGGCAGCCCGGGCATGGGGGGGAGCACAGTCCTGCACCCTGCTGAGCACACTTGGGTGCACAGCACAGCTTTCCCCTGAAATGCTTCTGCTGAGACCTGGAAATGCGGCGGTGTGCAGGACCCGGTGCATGGCATGCAGGATCTAGTGCACAGTGTACAAGATCCAGTGCACGCTGTGCAGAACCCAGCACGGCATGCTCCCTGGACCTGCTGTCACCCAAAAGCCACCCGGGGTGCAGGGACCACGTGTCTTCTCAGAAAACCCTGTGTCTCTCCATCCCCACCCTCGGCTCCACAGGGTGCCAGCAATGGGTGACTGCTGCCACCGCAGAGCAGCTCCTGCAGCTTCACACCCTCATGCCTCCCCAGCGCAGGCAGCGGGCAACAGCACCAACCAGTGACACCAGCATGAACACCAAGGGGCACCGGGCACCCTTGGTGCTGGCATCCCTCGAGCCTTTCAGCCTCCACCCCTAGGAATGTACTGCGGCGGGAGCTTGGCATTGCTGCCTCGGCAGAAGTTGGGCAACTCGAGTTCCCAGGTGATGAAGAACCTGCCATCTTCTTCTTCATCCCCATGAAAATGGATTTTCACCCTTTCTCACTCTTTAAAACAGAAGCAGCAAATGAGATGCATCAGGCTG